AAATAGATTTTGTTTTCATTTAAAAGAAAACTATGGCTTACTAATTTCACTGGTTAGTAGGTGTTCTTGAGGAGGCCAGTAAGATACTTAAGACAGGGATGCTTGCAGGTACCTTCCTGCTTATCCACGTGAATCCTCTCTATGCAAAAAGATTTGGATATCAACCAACTGCAGGCAAAACTTAGGTGACAACAAGTTGTTGAGTCAAGTTAAACCTGTTTGCTGCTTATGATCTACAAAATGCCCTACAGTAGGAGCAACAGATTAACAATGTAAGAGTCTTTCACTTTATAGTTACATTTGGATTGTGTAATGCAGCCTTACTAGTTGACTCTCTAATAATTAGTCTTAAAAGAAGGCACTGTGTATGGTTCCATATTCATTTACTGCTGTACCACTTGTGTCCTGGTATCTTACCTGTGCCTGCCTGTCTTTCACCATTCTGATTCTGAATACTGAAGTGCAGTGTCTTTTTCCTATACTAAAACTGTTGTCAGTCCATGTCCATCTTGGCATTGTACCAGCAAGGAGAGGCAGTGAAGCCAATTTTTTTTTTTCATGTGTTCAGGTAATTCAAGATGCACTAAGCGCAATGGGAAGACTGCAGACTAATTATGTTGGAATGGTTTCCTTGGTTTGTGACCAACTTTCACAAATCCCGATGGTAATTTGATGCTGATGACCTCTTTCCCAGCAGTGGCTGTATGCTGTGTTCCCTTTGTCTGCTAGCCTCCAAACTCAAAGTCAAGATAGTGGATCCTCAAACCTTGAACACACATTCTGTGGGCTGTTTCATTCCCCTCTGAAAACTGCTGTGGTTTTGTTGGTTGGTTTTTTTTTCAAACCTTGATAAAAATCACCAGGAGAACCAGGTGACTGTGCAATATTGAACACTTAGTTTAACTTTTTCATAACAGAAGGTTAACGAATTTTGAGATTAAGTGCTGCTTGTACAACATGCCTTTTATGGATGTTATCTTTGAAATGTCCTTTCTGGTGGTAGCCTCTTAAGTGACTTTTTACAGATATACTTTCAGTTGTGTTACCAGTGATGCTGAACTTAATCAGCTTGCATAAAACCTCAGGTTAGCTCTCACTGTGAAGGGTCTGTGATCTTGCACTCAATTTTCAGTGCTGCTTGACTTAAAGATTAGATTGGTCTTGTAATAAAAAGCTTGAAAGCTTGTCAAGTGTTTACAAAGATGTCATGTAACTTCTCTTGCAAAATTGTGAAGCATGCTGTGATACAGGGATTGTCCTAGGGATTTTGGCATTAGTGCTGGCAACTCATATGCGCTGCTGCATGTGCGTAGATTAATATAATTCAAAAGCAATTGAGCCAAACCTTTATTTGAATCCATACTGGAGTACTGCAGTGAAAAAGAAACTGTTCAGTGCTGAAAACGTGTGGGATTTTAACCTACTGATGCTAATTTTCTCAGAACTGGCCTGTGCAAAGTTAAATATAACATTTTTAGGTGGGTCAATAGTCCATACACTTGTAGTGGGATGTAAGTGAAATCCCTTATGCTTGTGTATTTTCTCTGTGGTTTCTTTCTGTATGTGTAAGACAGCAAATATCTCACAGCTGTAGGGAAGAAGTGTAGAACAGCATGAAGCTACTGGGGATGTTTCTAACAATCTTCATGGGAGCTCAGTCTCCAATATCAGGAGATAAACCTGGATAAGACAAATATGAGTGATGATGCTGACCCTGATTGCCAGAGTTAATCTCAGTTAAAATAACATGCTTATTGACTTCCAAGGTAAAATACTTGTGTTCTTTGCACTAAAGTGGTGGATCAGCAGTGTTAGAGTTCTCCGAATATTATAGACTCAAGCACACAATGTCAGAGCATCTGATTGGATTGGTAGAGAACCAGGGATACCCAGGCCAGGCATTCCTAAATATAGATTGCTGAAACTAATACTGGAAAATGAGAATCCTGAGTTTCTCCATCATACATGCCTTTGCAGGTGAAACACCAGTAATATCTGCAGTGTATTCATTTGCATTTAAATGTCAAACACTTTTTTTATGACAGACTGTTAGGAGATGCCAATCTCAGTTTCATAGAACCATAGTCCAACCCCCCTGCCAAAGCAGGATCACCTAGGGCAGGCCACACAGGTTTGTCTTGTTGTGGATGCTTTAAGAGCAATCTGCTTGATATGGTCCTTATTATCAACCAGCACCATTGACCTGTTAAAATATTTCACAATTCAGCTCTTTGGGGAACTGCTTTGGTTGGTAAATAACTGAAACAAGCAGAAAAGTTACGTGAACACTGTGCAGAGCTTCTGAAAAGAACATAGATGCTTTCTTAGCAGACTCTACTGTTAGTGTACCAGAGATACTGTGAGCTGTTTCTAACACTATAGAGTCTGACAGTATGTGCCTTTCAGATTCTTCTTTGAGATCTTACTTTTGTCTTTCCTTTTCTTCTGATAGTAGAAGGACTTTTGCTAATAGCCTTGCCATGTGGTGAGCACACTTTTAAAAATAGTCTGACTGTCCTTTGATCCATTTTGGTCCTCTGAGGTGTATCCGAGCCCAGGACTGAAAAGTTAGTATGGCTGCTGCTGAAGGGAGATGCTTTAAGCAGGTAGTCTTTAAGCAGATCTGTCTGGTCTGGATTTTAATTCTGTATTTCAGACGTCAGTAGTTAATTTACAGTCATAGTAGTGATAGCACACTGGTTTTTTTCACCTTGGAGTTGTCAAACTCAGTTGCTAAAGGTTATGTTGCACTTCGGCCTTGTGTGTAAGGAAGAGTGGTACTAGGCCAGTTTATAACTCCTGAAAATTTGTGAAGTGAAAAGGAACACTTTATGAGAGTAGGCATAGTTTTTAGGTTTGAACTTTTGCTCAGAGCATTCTTGCAGCAAGAGGATTAAAATTTTACTTTACAATATTCTTTGAAAGTAAGGGTAGAATAGTTGTTGAATTTCAAACCAAAGCAAATAAATTGATGGTATCTTGAGGAGTTTTGTTTGTTGTGTGCAGCTTTGTTTATGTTGAGTTGTAGTAGTAAGCTGAAAAGGTAATACTAGAGGAAATAAGCTTGAAAATTACTTTCTGGGTTTTAGCATGCTTTCTTCAAACATGCGGTATTGATCTGTTTACTGTAGATAGATGAAGTCTAGTCTTTATGAGAATCAACATCACCTTGACTTCATGGCACTGCATATGTGTCTTCTTTACCAGCTCAGTTGATTTGATTATGTGTTGGAAACAAGGAGGTTTGAGGTCTCTCACAAATAACAATTAAATCATTACTTTTATTTTCTGTGAAATGGATGGTCAAGGACCTATCCTGAATGCAGTTCAGAGAGTGTAGTATGGCTAACAGTGTGCTTCGTTAGATTTTTGAGTCCTAACTGGGCTCATCTAAGAAATCAGAGAATGGGGCAGGGCCAGCTTTGGTAGACGCTAGTTAATTTTTGGTGCATCCCTGAAACATGATGTGTTTTCTAAGATTCTGTCTTTGAATAATTTAAAGCTTTCTACGTGTTGGGTTTGTGATGTACCTGAAATACATGAAGGAGATGTGTTGCTATGTTGTCAGTCAATTTTTAATATAGAAATTAAGTAGTATAAGTTTATAAAATCTATGTTTTAGTTCAGCCAGGTTTTGACCCAAACAGATTAATTTCCCTGGGTGACTTTGTTGTTTGAAGCATTCTTTTAATAGATCCATCCTGTGTCCAGTGATTCTAAACTAATTAATTTTTACCACTTTCAGTTTGCCTTGATTCTAAGGGCTAAGTGCATTTTTACTTTTAAGACAGAGTTCCCCCCACACTTAATCCAGAATGCTCTTAACTTGTTGGATATGTCTGTCTAAGAGGATGGGAAAAATTCAGTGCTGAAAAGGAAAAGTCCTTCAGAGGAGTCTGATGCAAAATTTATTCTCAAAAACATTTCCTTAAAAAGCTATCAACATTGAATTTTCTGTTTATGTGTGAGAGTGATGGTTCTGCATGTTTGAAAGGTTGGATTGGAAATTGCTGAGAACTAAGCATGAGTTTTAAGAAATCCTAGAGCCTTTACCACAGTGTTGCTCAAGGGAGCAGAAAAAACTTAAATCTTGTCTTTCAAGAGAACCCTCTTTTTAAAGTCAAGTACTCAAATACTGAGACCATAGTGGTAATGGATATTGACAGTTTTTTTGATGTTAACACAGGGTTTGAAGTGTAAAATAAGAGTTGCAGCTCTGAGAAACCTGTAGACTGATGAATATTAGATGAAGTGTGATGGTGAATGAAAATACCTGACTAAGAACATTTAATTAGCAATTAGCAATTGCAGTGTATTTTCAAAGCAATTCATAAATTGGAAGCTTGTAATCTATTGCCTGTAAATGGGAGTGGGGTAGAATCCTTAAGACACTTACAGAACAGTTCCAGCACAGCAGCCTGAAAGTAATTTTTGAAAATGTTTGCATGATGTTACAGCTTCAGCCATGTGAGTGTTTTAATGATTTGGAGATGAGGGAGGAGAGTATCACAGTCATACGGATAGATTGACTAGGGTATGATTCTTCAGTTTGCTCAAATATGAGAGTGAGGGATGGTTATGTAAGACTGAGTGAAATGCAAACCAAAAGGAGGAGGTTCTTTCACAAGAATGATTGTGTATCTGTGATGCATCTTGTCAGAGGATTTCATGGGTGTAAGAAACTTGTGTAGGCCAAAGAGAAGCTGAAGTACTTGAAAGAAATCCACAAAGTCTACCAAACAGCAAAATTGCATAAGGTTAAGGAAAACACATGAAAGTAGTCGGGGGCTGAAGACGACTTTGAAATATCATGCTTCTCTGTTTATTTTTGGACATGGTGCTAGAGGGAACTTGTGTCCTGTTATGAAGGAGGAAGAACCTGAGCAAACACACGTTTGATTCGGGATTGTTTTTTTTTTGTGTTTAGTATAAATATGGATAAATATTATTTGGAAGAACTAAGATTTTTAATTATTCTCGTTTATCATTCTTTTTGTTAGCAAAACCAAATAGGAAGCTGACATTCCTGTACTTGGCCAATGATGTCATACAGAACAGCAAAAGGAAAGGACCAGAATTTACAAAAGACTTTGCTCCGGTAATAGTGGAGGCTTTTAAGCATGTTTCAAGGTATAGTAAACTGTTACGTGCAGTGTCCTTCATCATATTGTGTTTGAGGGGTATTTAGTGAAGTCCTCAGTTCATCTGACTCAGCTAGTCCTTGTGTGCTATTTCTGTACTTGAAGTCTTGTTAATTTAATTTATTCAGTGTTCTTTTGATCTTGGATAGTCTTAATGCTGTTGGATGAAGTTACAAGAGTAAACTCATCCGCATTCAGTCCATTTTGCATTAGAAAGCTGTTAGCTATGCCTTTAAATAAGACTTGCTTTCAGTCTGCATATATATGCTGCAAGTTTATATTTGATTACTGGTGTTGCATAATTTGGTTTTTCTCCTGCAGCCATTCATCTCATTGCATGATGATTTTAGAGTCTTGATACAGAATTATTTTCACATGCTGCACAGCTGTTTGCAGTGTTTGTGTAATAGAGTTACAGGCGTACAGATTTATGAGTTGAGCAAGCAAATAGAATGAGGGAATTGGGCATTGACCTTCTTTTTAATATGCTTGTTAAGATGTTTTGAACTGATCTTTGTTTTCTTTTCTTTAAAACATGACTTTGTCACTTTCTGAGATGATTGAACTTCTGATACTTTGTTGTTGTTAGGGTATGCCAAGGTCCTTCTGTGAAAGATAATCATACGGCACTGCTGTACTTTTACCTAGCACTGACTTTTGGTTTTTTTCCTTATAACAGTGAGTCTGATGAGAGTTGTAAGAAACACCTTGGCCGAGTGCTTTCTATCTGGGAAGAAAGGTCTGTTTATGAAAATGATGTATTAGAACAACTTAGGCAAGCTTTGTGTAAGTATTTTGTGTTTGTATGAAAATTCATTGTCTATTCGAAATATTATTTCATTGACTCATCTGTTTGTTTTCATTTAGATGGAGACAGAAAGGTGAGGAAGCGAACATATGAACAGATAAAAGTTGATGAAAATAACTGTTCACCTCGGAGTTCTCCCACTGACCCTCCACAGGTAAAAGCATACTTCTAATCTTCTGTATTTGCACATGTGTTGTGGTAGAATTTTTCAGTTACTCTTGGTTTTGAATGGTCCCTGTTTTTATTTCTAATGAGGTAGTTTCTGAGCAAGGATGACTACGTCTGAAATTTTTCTTCACAGTACTTTAGGTTACAAGTCAAGCTTGCTGTTAACTTCAGTCAATTTGACACTAAACCGTTATCTCCAGCTTTGTCCACATTAGGATTTTAGCATTAGTTTCTACAATGTTTTGTGTTCTCATATGGTTTCCAGTATTGAATAGCACAAGTGTTAGAATAATACTATTATCAATTTATCAATAAAATATTTCTCAATGTTGCAGTCATGATGGGTGGAAAAATTTTGTCTGCCTTGCTTTGTTAGGGCTTTTATAATTCTTGCGGATTTTTTGTTATGGTAGTGCCCCATCTCAGAAGGTTTTTTGATATGGTGAGCAATGACTGCCTTCATAATCACAATTTAGTATGTTTCTTTGTAACAGACCTCTGGGCTTCTGTGAACATCAGCCCAACTCCCAAAAGACGAGAACTGATCTAGTCTGATGCAATAGTGAAACAAAACTCCAAGAAAAATAGTTTCAAAAATATATAGTAAAATGAAAGGTACTGTAAAATAATCACTGCTATCAAAAATAAAAGATGTGTAAGTAGTCCTATACCAAGAATTTAAGTGAAAAATTTATTTTAGGAAGGTGACCTTTAAAACTAAGAACACTGCAATGTTGTTCTGAGAATTATTAGCTTGATTTTGTTTTGTTTTCAGTCCAAGAGGGAATAGAATGTTACTATAATACTGATATCATAAATGCTGTTAAAATTAGCATCAAATAGATTCCATAAGCTTATTGTGATATACTGTTTTGTAATAGGCTCTGTTTATTTAAACTAGTTCTCAATCTTGCATGCTTTTTTCAGACCACAGATCTCATTAGAGCATTACAAGAACTAGAAAACGCTGCCTCTGGGGATGCAGCAGTTCATCAGAGAATAGCTTCTTTGCCTATAGAGGTCCAAGATGTGTCCCTGTTAGACAGAATAACAGGTGAGGGTTGGGGAATCCAGTAACTGAAGCGTTTTTTGAGAACTTAACAGTCTATAATGAAATGTTTTTCTCTGCTTGCTTTTTAGATAAGGAATCTGGAGAACAACTTTCCAAAATGGTAGATGATGCATGTATGTTGCTGGCGGATTACAATGGCAGGTTGGCAGCTGAAATAGATGATAGAAAACAGCTAACTCGAATGTTGTCGGACTTTCTCCGATGTCAAAAAGAATTCCTTGCAGAGAAAGAACATAAGCTGGAAGTGCGTAATGTTTTGGTTTAGTCCATTCTTCACTACAGATTGTTCTTGCAAATGTTTTTGGTTTGCCTAAACAACTTTTCTTTCCAAAGCTAAATATTTCATTGCCACTCTTAGGTCTTTGCTTCCAGCACATTATTAAGAAGATATCTTTTGGTTCTAGTGTTTTAAACCTATTAAACCAGCTCAACATTAGGTAATGTTATAACTGTAGTCACTTCAGTGTTTGTCTTTCTGGTTTTTTTAGCCTATTTAGTCTTCATTATATGTACAAACCTAGTTTTAATAGTACAGATAAAGTCTTATCTTGAACGGTACAAACTTTATTCTTCATACAGTAAATTTGTTGTTGTTCTTTTCATTCATTGTTGTAAGTCTTTAGTGATGTGTTACGTTGTTTAATAATAATCCTTCTAGTGAACAGAATGATCTTTCTGGTAGTCATAGGTGTGTAAAGCCTCTTAAAATATAAGAATTTAGTTACTGGTTTCAGTACAACTTTTTAACCTGGTTCAAATATCTGTTAAACCCAGTAAAATGTAGTTTTAGCTTCTACAGCCTCTAACACAGCTGGTTAGTAGCACTAACACCGTTAAGACAGTGTGAATCATTAATAAAAGGCTGAAGACTGAACAGCTCATTATGCACAAATGATTCCCTGAGTTATGCACAAATGATTCCCTGAGTTATGCAGTCCTTCACTATTACCAGTCATCTATTTTCCCTTCTTGATGCATAATACTGTCAAACCTCCTGTTAATCGTCCCAAATATTCTAAATAGGTCCATAATTTCACACCCCTTGCTTTCCAAATGCCTTGTCTCAACTTTGAGACATGGATTCCAGCACTAGGTTGGTTATTACAGTAATGGAAGTGAAGCTGCAGCCTTTTGCAAGGAGAGATAGCTAAACAGTTGTGATTTCCTGTAACTGCAGCATAAGCATGCATGGTGCAGAAAGTAATTGCTTTTCAGGTTTCGTTATATAGGCTCATCAAGAACATTTCCCTCACTCTTACTTCATTACAGTTTTATAACTTCATAAGTTGAACTCAGAATTTGTGGTGCCTTTGTTCAGGATAAAATGCTGTATCTGAAGTGATCGTCCAGATCAGTTGTGTCATTCCTAGACAACTCTTATTTCCTGACTTACTTCCTTTGCTCTATGCCTCACAGAAAAGCAATTGATGAAGGTTCTTCCTATCAACTTCACTGTGTTTGTCCTGTGAGAAGAATATCCACCAACTTCATGTAAGATAGCTGGTGTGCATGGTAGTGCTGATTGCAGTAGCAGCTGATCCAACTGACGAGTGGCATCTGGAAGATGAAAGAACAGGAGGCCTTAAGCTTTTATCACCTGCCATACCTTCTCTCTGTGTGTGAGTGTAATGTGCTTAAAGGACAGGTTCTCACAGTACAAGGGTAGGACTGATTGCCTTGAAACACTCGGTTCTTTTTGTAGATCATTACCAGCAATTAGATCCTGTTTAGGTATAGAATACTGCTGGGATAGTGAGTCACTCAAGACACAACTTAGTACTTGAGACAGATTTATACTTTTGTAAAAACAAGAGCTCAGTGAATCAGAAGTTACAAATGGACTGCAGCTGTGAGCAGATTCTGCCCTCATTAGTTGTTCTCAACAAGTGTAGAACAGTTTAATTTCCCGGTACTACTAGGTCAAAGAGTTCATAACTAAGAGAGGGCAACTGCTTATTTCCATGTTGTCATGTTCCTTAAGACTGGGTTTCTTGAATTTATTACTTAAGCTGTTAAGGAATTGCATTCTAATACAGCACATTTCCAGTTTTGGGCTGGTTTCGGAGGTCTTTCTGTAGAAAGCAGGAGACAGTCTTCACTAGTCTTCATCTGCAGCAGTCTGTATTAAGCAGATGAAGTCCTAGGGTGTTAACGTGTATTACAAGAATGTTTTTAGGCAGTGTGGTATAAATGCAGGTTGCTAATAAAGAACTATGAGCCAGGGTGCTGTAAACCCAGGGTACTAATAAAAAGCTGGGAGCCAGGAGATTGTAAAGAACAAAACCTGAAAATCAAGTTTCTAGACTAGCGTTAAGATGAATGAAGTGAAATTGCTCATTACTGGTAGGGTCTTTTGGTTCAGGAAGTGAGGCTGATAAACATCTTGAAGTTTTGAAATGTAAGTATATCAGGCCAGCTGACATAGTTGATCTTTTTTTTTAATATTTATTTTTAAGAAATGACTGTCTTCTGATGTAAATAACAAATACCTCTATCCAGAGGCATTTGTTTTCTGAAGCAGTGACTGTTTTTACGGTCTTAGGCAATACCACACCTTGAATTGAGCTGCCTTGGCTTCTCATTCAAAATAGCACTAGGAAGGGGCCTGTCACCTAATTATTTTGAGATGGTGTTTCCTTGGCTGTCTGTCCCTAGGTTCTATTTCTGGTGAAATTAATTTATTCTAGACAAAATTCCTTTGTTAGACTTCTGGCTGTTGACATTTGAGTACAGCATGGTTTCTGAGTTGTAACAAATGAAATCTTCATTTCTTTCTGAAATGTCACCAGTCAGTGAGTATAGTGTTGAGATCCAATGTTCCTGGTCAAACACCCAGGTATGGTAAGAAACAAGTGGTTGAATTTGTAGTGGAATCTAGAAATGTTACCTGCTGTTGACCTGGTTTAACAGTATTAGAATTGAATTCCCAGAGAATTCTTGCTAACTTTACATTTTGGATGGGAGCTTTAGACCTAAATGTGCAGATTTTTTTTTTATCTTCTGAAGTTACAGGTAAGTAACTTTGTAACCAATCTTCCCACGAGTAGTTTTTTTTAAGAATAAGAGTTTCTCTGACAGTTATTTCTAAACAGAAGTGCATGATTCCTAGCAAAGTTGAGGTAATGTATGCCTTAAGTCTTGACAGGAAATTTTGACAACAGATAAGTAATATGAGCTATCATGTCTGCATCAAAAGGTAACTGTACTGCTTAGTAGGTGACTTTCATAAGTCTGCTCTGGGTAAGTAGTATCATCTTTAACTCTTATGTTGTTTTCTTTAACATCTGTCTAGCTTCTGTTGCAGGTGGTGGACATGGACCTATCTTCTAATGATGTCAACATCCGTTAGTACACACATCCTGCTAAAAATAAATTTAAGAATCAAAATCTTGTATTGTCTGTTGTTTTTGAAAACGGAAGAGGAAGAATTCTGTAACTACTCATACCAAACCTCTGCTATTTCATCTGTGTTCTCACAAACACTGAGTTTATGCCTGAGATGGATAAGCATTTATCCAGTGTCATTCCTTTTTCTTGAAGATTAAAACTTTCACATGGTTTTCAAAAAACTCACAAATACTTTGTCTTAAATCATTTGAAATTGCAAATGCAGAAGTTTGGGTGTCACTTGCATTCAAGCTGCCATTACCAAAAGGAAAGAGGTGTGAAAACAAGACTTTTTCAGACTTCTGCTTTTTTGACGTACACTCTAGCTGTTGGGTTTACATGAACACCAGAAATGAGAAGTGGTGGATGTAGAACTTGTCCTTCACAAGCACAATAAAGAACTTTAATATACATCTATTTAACATTTTATGTAGATAGTAGAGAAGGTGTGTTTTGTAATTGCTCTTATGCCCCTTTTGAACCACCCTCAAATTTAGGATCATCCTAAGAGTATTTTTGCTTCACTTTGCTAAGTTTTAAAGCACTACATATATTTAAGATTTGGTGTACTGTAACTGTATCTGCAAGCTTGTGTAGGATTTATAGGTAGACGTGATTCTGTCTGTTACAGAAACGAATTTTTTGCAGAAAGATTTTTTTTTTTTCCTCAGAACTTTGAGGATTAATTTAACTTCCTGTTTTCTACTATTTTGACTCTTTACTCTCTGCTTCCTTGTTTTGTCCCCTCTTACCTCCCTGCCCATCCCCTGGTTTTTGGACAGAAAAGTTGCTTGGTCTGTTGATCTCACTGAAGGCTGATAAGAACTTCTTATGTTTTGCAGGAACAAACAGTTAGGTATACATACATTAACATCCAGGTGCACTCATCTCCTTTTGATAAAGACTGGTCTGTAGACATTCTAGAATTAACATGCCCTTAAAAATACAGGGATGACATGAACAAGAGGAGTTCTTGGTTTAATATTTTTTCATATTGCTTTGCTTTTGCCTCTTCCACGCTCTCATTGGTTACAGACTAAATAGACTCTTACTAAATTTCAAATAAAGGCTTGGATAGTTTGAAATGTTACATAACTTCTTAAGAAGTGTAGGTAGAGGATCACATGACCTTTTTCTAGAAAAACAAGACAGCCTCTTCTCACATTCATTTTGATGTTGAAGATAAATGTAACATTGCTATACTTAGTATTTACTGGATGACCTGCTTTCTTGCATAATGTTTCTCTGAAATTGCCACTTTAAATTGGGGAACGTCTTATCGCTAAATCCAAATTTTGAAGAAGGAAATGCAACTCTGGGAGGGCTGCTGTGTTTTATCAGCTTGCATTTAATGAAGACGCTTCTGCTGCTCATGTTGCCATCTTGCATTCCTTATTTTCTGTGGCTGTATGAACAATATTCATATCCATACGCTCACACATCTGTTATAATTGTGATTTCTGAGCATGTTGAGAGAATATTTTATGTTCAATTCACTTTTACTTCACAACTGAGCTATATAGCTCAATATAACTTGACTTATTTTCCTAAAGGGTTTAATTTTGTCGTAGGATTTTATGGATAAACATCAAGCAGTTAGTCATCCTAGTCTGTAACTCTGGAGTCAAATAGTTTTTTCTTTTATTCTTTTTTATTTTTTTCCTCCTCTTCTCTCTTTCTGTTCAGTTGCAGCTTAATGGTGTCAAATGCAGACAAAATTGTTAAGCAGAGAATTTAGGGATCATGGTGGAATAACAGGCAGGCCTCTTGTGTTTAGGGTTGGTTTTCCTCAGTGCAAGGCTGGATTGAAAGTATTGTCTCCTGTTTCCTTCCACCATGGCCTTTGTCTTGTCAGAA